AAATTAATTGAGTTAGGTGGTTTAAAGGGCTTTTGAGGAGGAATTTTACTGGTGGAATAAGCGGTGTGATTCATTCAGTTTTAGTGAAGTCTCCATTTCAAATGAAACTGCCGTTCCACATAGATCCCCCCGAATATGCGGTGACTCTTGCAGAATGCAATCACATTTACATATTAACCATGACATACACACACTGGACAAAAGAAGTGTCACCCCTAATGAGCCAATACTACCTGTATGGGGGAGATAAATGACTGTGGAATGATATGCTCCTGGTATCATTTTATTAACATCAAATTTCACAAAAAATCACAAAATAAGAACAAAATATACAGTCTACCAAAATATGCAGTTTCAAGTCCAAAATTAGTACTTAGTGGCATAGCCACGTGAGTAGTATAAGAGGAGTTTTATAGGCCCCTTCCTTAGAGGTAAAAGTAAATGTATAGTGCTCAAAGAAGTGTGAAATGAGGTAAAAGTAAATGTATAGTGCTCAAAGAAGTGTGAAATGAGGTAAAAGTAAATGTATAGTGCTCAAAGAAGTGTGAAATGAGGTAAAAGTAAATGTTTTTTTTTTTTTTTGCAATCTTAGTAAGCTGCTATTTTAAGCCACCGACTGAGTCTAATAATAGTTATTTGAAAAGGAACAATAAACACCGCAGCCCCTATTTACGATATTTTATTTACTTCAAAAGGAAAAATAAACACCTCAGCACCTTGTATATCTTATTTACAGACACTAAATATCTAAAGGTGCAGTGGACACACCGTCCTCTAACACCTTTCTTTTGCAATAGAAATAACTAAAGGCGTCTCTGTGTTGAAGGTACGAATACATAGTATTGTTAAATAAACGTATCCCTCTATTGACACCACTACCGCTTCGTCTATTTAAAAGTACATCTAAATACTTATTTTTATCTATGCTATTGCAATTCCTATTGACCCCTTTGCAGCTAAATTTCGGGCCGGTATTTTCTCCGAAACAGTAATAGGTCTTACTGCAGAGACCGACGACACCGTCACCGACCCACTCCGCTTTGAACAACCCGGGCGTGCGTTTGTCAAATGCCTCGTGTTCAGGTGTATCAGTTCGTGGAAACCACATATGTTTCTCGGCTTCGTATTGTGCTCTCATGTGAGGTTTTATTACGTCTTCTAAGCTTTCTGCCGAGAAGGCGATGTACGCTGAATCCGTGTCCATTTCACAATACTGGAAATCGGACGGATCCACGAATTTTAGCATGAAGTCGTAATAAAACTCCAGCATGCGCAGCTTGGCGTACTGATACACCATCACACCTATGTGTAGAGGAAGGTCCAATTTGATGATTTTTTTGTTTAGCTCGACCTCGTACGTGTTTTCGCAAATTTTATCTAAACGCCGAAAACGGTGACTGTTAACTTTTTGGGAGGCTTTTGTCTCGCCGCAATACTCGGTGTCGCGATGCCTTTCTTTGTTGGTCACCATTTTACCGTAGCCCGAGTTACCGATCAGCTTCATGGTGTCGGCAACGATGGCCTTGGTCTTGTCCCTGTCTCCCTCCCTGCGAGCGTCACTCACGGCGTTTCCGAAATGCTCGAAACAGGCTTTTGGGGTGTACTCGACTACCTGGTGGATGCGCGTTACCCGGAGACCGTGACTTAGGTACCATTTTAAAAGAGGGATCGCCAAAACGACTTTTTCACCGAAAAAACTACCAATCAGCGAACGCCTTGGGACACTCATGATGTTATTTTCCTCGGCAAACTTTTTCATGTAAGGTCCGATGTCGCCGCGGGAAATGGTTGTGTTTTTGAAAATGGGTGGCATTTCGGAGAATTTTGGTCTAAGATCGGGCGGGACTTCTACGTCGCACTCAACGAACCCAAACAGCTTATCATTGCGAATTGCGTCTAGGATCTCGCCGAACGTGAGCCGATACTTGTGCTCGGTGGGGAGCGTGTACTGCTTCACGAAATGCTTTACTTCATCGCTTTCGCGTTGAAGTTTTTTCCACTCGCACTCCCACATTTCGACGAGGTCGTAGCCCCATTCCCGTATGTACTCGCTATTAATTTCTGTTTCGATGCGTAAAGATTCCATAGTGACCTTTTTCGTGTCGTTTATTTCTTTGTAGGTGCCATCTTTGTTTCGGTTTAAATGACACCGATGACCGTGAAAATAACACCCGTGGTACTGAAACACTGTCTGCGTATCTTGACAAAACCCATCCACCGGCAGCCGACGGCACCCGACGCGCTTTTCCGTACCGTTGAACTGATGCCGAATGTGTATATTGTTCGAATGAGCGACCCAGTCCAACCACATCGTGGCCACGCGACCTCGCGGGTGAGAATATTCGCGCGTATACTCGGACACTTCGCGTCTGCGGATAAATGTACCCGTGGGCATGGGCTGCATCAAGCACCACAGATACAGGGCATTAGCATCATACCCGACGATCTTTTTGCACGGCTTGGGGTCTTTGGAAGTAGCCTCTCGAAGAAAGGTCTTATTCCTCTCGTGGTACCGATGAAAGATGATGCTGGGCCCGCCCACGATTGCATTTTTCAAAAGGTAATACAGATCGCTGTTTTTGTCGTCAAAAAGGGTAAAAAATGCATCCCCTACGTTTCGAAAGAGGTATTTCAACGTTAAACCCGGCACGCTGATGCCGTCCTTAAACATGTCGATACCCCTTACTTCGTAGAAGGCGAACATCTTTGCCACCACCTCCAACATCGGTTCAACGTCTTTGTTGTTGTACCAGATGAGGAAATCGCGCATCGTCTGCATACCGTTTTCAACCCACGCGAGTTGGCACCGCGCGTAATCTTCCTCGCTTATATTACTTTGCTTTAACTTCGAGTAAAATGCTTCGTGGGGAGGGAGATTAGAGCATTCGAGTTTGTCCAAAGAGTCCATCCACTCGTACGGGAAGAACCCCTTGGACTCGGTACACTCGAACGCCTTCAGGAACTGACTATAACTGCATCCAGGAGCCAAATAATTACAAATGTCTAAAATTTTTAGGCGTTCCGATTTTAACACCATGAAATTGTTGTTGCGTTTTACAACAAATTTCAATGTGCCCACCAACAACGGAAAAAGCAGCTTTTTCATGGCATTAAGATCGTAATGCCCACTATTGAAACCTAACACAGGCAATTCCATTAAATATTGACTAAATCTACTGCTAAGTTCTGATAAGTAATGTTTTTTTGTTAAGGTTTCTTCATCTTCTTCCACGACTTCACCTTCCTGTATCATTTTTTGAATGTTTTGTTCAATTTTTTCGTTCAGTTTTTCAAAAATCCAGGCAAACTTGTTGGTTAGAAGTTTTTCAGCCGCACAGCTTATATTCTGCAATATTTCTAGGAACTGCTGCACGGCTAGCGCTGGATCGTCGTTGGATACGATGCATTCCGGCTGCGGCTCCTCCGTACGAGGTAGCAGACACTCGATATCGAACGTCGCCCGGTATCGATAGTACCTGTCCTCCTCAGGGACGTAAATGCCCTCGTCTTCGAGGAGGTTGAACACGGTAGGCTGGGGAGCGTACGCCTTGCCGGGAAATCGGTGCTCGACAAGGACGTCGCAGGTCCGTTCGTGGCGCTGAAGAGACCATTTGGTTTTGAACATTTTGCTGCACCTCGAACAACAAAACGAATGGCAGTATTTGTCCACATCACCGATGTACGAAAAATGATTTTCGTACACGTTGAGCGACATGGTGTTGCTGTACTTGTCCGTCGAGCGACGGACGAGTTCCGCAAACACGTCCCCATCTTCGTTTTGCTGCAGTTCGTACACGACGATGTTAACCTCAAAGACGGCTTCCACCTTGTGCAGTCGATGGAGCGCCACGCCTTTGAAATTTTTGGGTTTTCGTCCGCTAGCGATGTACTCTTCGAACAGCTTTTTGGTCGCTTTTTCTGTGCAAGGCGAGGCACCGAAAGAGGCATAGATTGTCGCGGTACCTTTTTCCTGTATGCTTGTTTTTTTGCAGAGCGACGAGACCTTTGTTGTTTATTACGAAGGAAGGCAGGTCGACTCCGCAACCGATGGGGTGGCCCTTCAGCTTCGTCACGTAAAAAGTGGCATTGGTGACCGTGTCTACCACCCATTTCGAATTAGGACGCTCCTGTTGAGCACATTCTAAGATATCTCTGGCGGAAATGTTGTGGAAAAAATCGTCGAGATCCTGGCGGTGGCGGATCACAGCGGGCGCTTCTAAGAAGCAATGGTTGTTGCTGCTGGGGTGGTAGTAACTCAAATGCCCGGTCTCGTTATTTCTTAAGAAAAAACCGTACGACACGTTGATCTTGAACGCCGTGCGTTGATCTTCAAAGATCCGCTCCAGGTCGTCTCGAAGGGCGTCGGGTTGAAGGGCGGTCAATCTAATATTGTACCAGTCTTGGAGTTTGTTACCCCTTGAGGATCTGGTCCGTATGCTGTTCCAGTGACTGTCGTACGCCTCGGCGACTGACGGGTCGATGTCCGGGGGCAGAAGATCGTCGGGCATGGTGAGGTGGTCGGAAGAAAAGGTCGATCCCGAACCCCTTTGGACCCTCGGGACTTTGACAGGTGGTTGATTAGAAGACTCTGCTTCCACGTCTTTGTTCGAACTCGCCGAGGATCCTGTGTGGATGCGTAGATGCCTAATCATATTGTCTCGACGAGCAAAGGTCTTTCCGCATTCGGGGCATGCTACCTCTTTTTCCTTACTGTGCGTGAGCCGGTGTCATTTCAGGTGACTAGCCCAATTGAAAGATGCGCCACAAATTTCACATTTGTAGCGAACCATGGTCGCCGATGATCTGAAACGAAAATTAAACGTAGACCGTTATGAGGACAGAAAAACGACACAGTGGTGTTTTGCATATGATTGGTTGACATAAGACGACACTTCAAGTTTGACTGGTTGTTTTCTGGAACAGATATTACCACCGTTTTTGATTGGCTAACGAAAAGAGTATAAAAACAAACGTTACAAGTTTATTAGGCATTCGAAGCAATGGATGACAACGAGGTATTCACCGATTGCGCTCCCGAAGACCAGCCCTTGCATTTTCGAATACCCTATTGTAAAGAAGAAGATAGGATTCTCAGTCTTCTAAACTGGCCAGGCAAACTTCTTATCAATCCCATACCTCTAGCTATCAGCGGGTTTTACAGGGACCAAGAGGCGTCAAATACAGACGACGCGGTCCTTTGCTTTAACTGTCGGGTCAGTCTTAGAAACTGGGACCCGTTGAGAGATGCGGCGGATGTGGAACACGAGCGCCACAGTCCGCAATGTACCATGAATAGCGTTGCAAAGAGACTCAAGAACCCGCTAAATGTACCACTGACACCTGAAAAGCGACACGAATTAGTGCAGCTGTTTGTCCCATTTGAAAAAAACTACACACCCAGTACAGTGAAAACACTGTTGAACATAGGTTTTGATGAGGTGGACCAGGCTCCATGGCCTAAGCCTTATACTCTTTTCTGATTGGTTAAATAAGTTACTCTGGATTTAAAAAAAAGCCGTTATTTAATAAGAGTGTCTATTTAACATCTTACATTCTTAGAGAACTGTTATGGCAAGTCCATCCGTTAAAATCCAGTGCGACGATATTAAGTGTGTAGTTGCGTGTTGTCAGGGACAGACAGATGTAGTCAACGACCAAAGAGATGAAACGGAATGCGACAAAGAAACCGAGCAACGACCTTGCACATGTACAAGAATACGGCATTACATCAAAACCTTACTTTGTAGTGTGAAACAAAACGCAGACAACTAAGAAGGTCATCATGCGAAAAAGTGAACCACCAAACAGTAGGATAGATGGTTACTTAAAAAAAAATATATTACGATCCTTCCAATCCAGCTAGTTTTGGAAGCGCGTTGAAATTATATAAAGCGGCACGAAAAGATAAAAAAGAAAATCGGACTTAAGCAAATCGAAGAGTTTTTGACCAAGCAAGATACGTATACGCTACACGCTAACGTCAGAAAACGATTTCGCACCAATCGCGTTGTTGTTGGTCGTACGGATCAGCAATGGCAAGCCGATTTAGCTGACCTCAGCAAACTATCAAAGTACAATAAAGGAATGAAATTTTTGTTAACTGTGATTGATGTATTTTCAAAGTACGCGTGGGTCGTACCCATCAAATCAAAAACTGCTGATAGCGTGCTACAAGCTTTTAGCGATATTTTAGCCGGAGGTCGAAAACCAGCGATCCTACAAACAGATGCCGGAACAGAATTTACAAATAGAAAATTCCAGGCATACCTGAAAGAACAAGGAATAACCTTTTTCACAACAAAGTCGGAACGAAAAAGCTCTGTCGTGGAACGGCTGAACAGAACTTTGAAATCTAATTTTTTAAAGTATTTCACCGCCAACAGTACGCTGACGTACATATACGCATTCGATCAACTGCTGACGGGGTACAACGCGGCTAAACACCGGAGTATAGGCATGTCGCCGGCAGAGGCCTCGAAAGAAAAAAATTCGGACGCGGTATGGAATAAACTTTACGGGGATATGAATTTTGAAAAAGCAAAGTTTAAATTCAAGGTGGGAGACACAGTAAGGTTGAGCAAACATAGGTCTCCCTTTGCAAAAGGCTACGAGCAGGGTTGGACGCAGGAGTTGTTTACGATAAAGCAACGTTTAAACAGGTCACCGCCGGTGTACAAGGTGGAAGATTAAGAAGGAGAAGAGATAGAGGGTGTCTTGTACGAGCCTGAAATGATTCGCGTCGTGAAGAAAGACGATGTGTATAGAGTAGAAAAAATTATAAAATCCAGGGGCAAGGGTAAATCGAGGGAACATTTCGTTCAATGGCAGGGTTACCCGAAAAAATTTAATAGTTGGATCAAAGCATCAGACGTTAAAACGGTATAAACGATATTTCGTTTTGTCCGCAACTTCAGTTGGAGCGATGGCCTCATCCTTTCACGTTATCCTACCATCCAACAGCAGTTTTAAATATTTTCCGAACAACAGAGCCGAGTCATTCCAGACAAAATTGTCATCAACCTTGCATTTAGACGGCGACTACGAAGTTGCATTAGTGGAACTACAATACCCGAAAACGTGGAAAAATGTAAAAGACAGTGCCGTGACGTATTACGATGGCTTGAAGACAAACACATTAACTATCCCTGGTGGATATTATCGAACGGTCAATGACCTCATAACCACAATCCATGATGAACTATCAACTATTGGAAAAACAAACATCACATTAGGGTATAATATTATATCGAGACGGGTCACAGTTCATTTACGTTCCGGTGCAAGTTTTGATTTTACTGGCGATGTAGGAAAAATGTTAGGTTGGGCAACGGACACTCAGATAACTTCGGACGCGATAGCTCCTCACCCTCCCAACATGACGCTGGGTTTTAATTCGCTCTATGTATATGCAGATATCATACAAAACCAGCTGGTGGGGGATGCGTCTGCAAATTTACTGAGGATCGTCGGCGTCGACAGTAAACATGAAGAAGTTGTTACAAAAACATTTGATTCACCTATTTACATTCCTTTGAGTCAACATCACATTGATACCATTCGAATAGATATAAGTCGCGACACGGGTGAACTTGTGCATTTCGATAGTGGGAAGACGATCGCAACATTACATTTTCGACGAAAAAGCTTATTGTTATAATGGATCCTGTTTATCAAGCATTAGTGAGAAGATACGATGCACAAGCAGGCGGGGGGTCTATACACAAGTTTCACGGTGCAAGGACACAACGCGGTTATGGGAGACTACTTCAACCTCGACGTGCTGAAATTCTGGATTTAAAAAGACCAACCAGTCATACCACAACAAAAAGGCGTGCACCAAAACCCGATTTATATGTGAAAGGTGACGTCGTAAGAAAAACTTTAAACTCCATGACTATAAATAAGAACAGTGCACCTAAAAAAGTCAGAAGAACTAAAGTAACGAAGACTAAACGGTCACATCCAGCCAAGACGCGAGATACAAATTTTTAGTCATGAACAACCCAATCGTTAAAACAGAACTTGATCTATTTTCTAATATAAGAGAAACTTATCAAACGGATATTATATCTACCGCCGATGAAGAGGTCCGCCCGACGTCTGCTGTTTCAGACGCAAGCAACGTTGTCGAATTCATCATAAAAGGCACACCTGACGAATACATAGACCCCACTCATATTAACCTGTTCGTAGAAGGCAAAGTCGTCAAGGCAGATGGAAGTGATCTTGATCCTGGTCAAAACACATGCGTCGTGAACAACACGCTTCACTCGTTATTTTCATCGGTGGACGTGGAGCTGAACGATTATTTGATAACCCCGAGTCAAAACACCTACCCTTATCGAGCGTATTTAGAAAACCTATTGTATCATGGGAGTAATGCTAAAAACACGTGGATGACGAGTGAGATGTGGTACCAAGACACAGCAGGTCAAATGAATGATACAGATGTTGATGGTGATCCGGGAAATGATGGGTTGACAGCATGCTACGCTTGGTTTCAACGAAGCAGAAATGTGGAGATGTATGGAGGGTTAAAAATAGATTTGGCAAACCAGGACAAGTTGCTGCTTAATAACGTAGACGTGCGAATTAAGCTGAGGAGAACACCGCATGCGTTTTGTTTGATGTCAGAAACNTCAAACTAAAGCTGCCAGAAGACAAAAAATTGCTCTGTACAGAAGATAGTTATATTTTTTTTTACAACGTTATACTAGTAGGAGATAAATCAAAGACCAAAACCAGTGATGACTGAATTTTCAAAGTGAGTAAAACGTTTCACTGCTAGACGTTTTGTATATGTGACAGTAACGTATGTTAATTCCTTTTTGGGGTTAGACGATGAATTAATTTTTGGTTCCAGGAGAGTGAATCTTTGATACAAACTTCTTCATGTGGGCGTAAAATAATCAAACATAATTTGCAATCTGAGCACTAAATATTTTTAAGAGCATGCCAGTGACATCAATTGCACCTCTATATTGGGTTTTGGTGTTAAGCATGTAATATCGAGACAGTCGTGGGTTTTCGTTCCATATATCGGTACACTTTTAAAAAAGTTGAATACAACTTCAAATTCATTAAATGTTATATTTTGAGACTTGTGGCTTTTCAGCTTGTGAAATGCACCTCCACAATGAATATTGGGTTTAGGTGCTATATGTGCCTCTAATGTGCCCTTATAATTGGTTGTATTAAAAAAGGGGAATCCCCTTGACCTATATTTCAGCCCCAGTTGGCAATACGTAAACATTGCGGAATGTCAGTGAGAAAAATAATTATTTTAAAGCCGGTCGTAATAAATGTACTGAAAATTTCTCAAACACATTATATATAAATATTTTCTATATGAAAAGTACACATATACCAAATGTCACAGCAAAACCAAGCAATGCAAGCGGATTTGAGGAGCTTTCCCAACTAATAGTAGCCTATGCCTAGTATGCCGCATGTGATTGAGTAGCAGAGGCCGGCGTAATGTATTATTATATATTTAACTACAGTATATGTTGCTGTTTTTTTTTCGGGAATTCGCATAATTTTTAATGTTTGTATGTGAAACATTTCCAAATATACCACTCACCTGGCCAATTTACTTCGAATCCCAACGTAATTGAAATAACCGAACATTCTCCCAGTGGGAATGACGTCACATGGGTGTTGTTTTAAAGCTAGGGATATGAAAATTGAATCCATGCTTAATAAAACCTAGATAAACTGACGATGCAGGCATTTTACACAATAAGGAAAAAATGAAATACCATTTGTTTCTATAAGTAGTATTATTCAACACTGTGTCATGTTCGTCATTGGATTTTAAGGTGAAAGACAAACTGCTTACTGGTATATATGCAGAGATTATAATTATATTTGCTAGATGCTCCATAATTTGAAATGTAAAGTTCACTTTACGTTCAGTACAACGTGATACGTCAAAAGATGCGCACGCGCATCGGTCATTTGACGTTTTGCCGTCGAGTGAACATCGAAAGTGAGCTCCCGGCGACGTCTTCCTGCGTCTTCGTCCAGTAACGTTTGCACAACTGTGTGCGATGCATTGTTTATTGGGGCATTTGCGTAACGTAACGCCGACTTTGTTTCAATGAATTTGTATAAAATAATGTATATACATATAAATATGGATGTTACAAACTAATAATAAAACACATGAAAAAATGTGCAACTTATCATCAACAAACAGACGAGTAGAGTTGTAAAATGTCACCGTGGCATAGGTATCACATACATTTTCTAAAAAAAGTAAGAATATTGCAGCCAGTATATCCTCACAATGTATCTCTTTCTTGAGTGGTGCGTCGGAGGAGTCATGCAAACGTGGAAGAGTCCATTTCATTACATGCAAACGGTCGGAAAAGGGGAATCCCCTTTGGAAATTCCAACTATTTTTATTTTGAGATGCGCATGCGCACTTAGCTGGGAATTTTCTGGTCGGAAGCGTCATCCATAGAAGTAGAGAAAA